GTACTAGGTTGTTGAAACAGTCATGCTGTGACCTCTATTGTTATATTGTTATGTCCTGTTTTATCTCAGTCTCCCCCTTATTGTTTCAAAAAAAATTATTTAGTCATTTCTTATGTTTGTCTTAATTAAAGAAAAAATTCAAAAAAATTAGGATATATAAATAGTAACTCTTTTTGATTTCCTATTAACTTGTTTTGAAGTCCTGTAGTACTCCCACGATCTTGTTTTGACTGATTAGACTCTGTTCCATTCTATATGATAATATCAAGTTTGAAGACATAGGCAACTACTTTAAAGACAATAAGATTCACTAAGATACCCATTCTGGTTTGACTATTGTCTTCTTTGGAAGTCCTGTAATGTTTACAATGCCTAAGTTTTATTGGTCTTGTTCTCTACTGTTTTGTCCAACTTTATAATATCTAATAAGATAGACAATTCTTTTTAAGGAAACAAGGGACAACGTTGATAACCATTGTTGATAAACTTGTACTCTGTTCTACACCATGTGCTATGTCTATCCTTGGTATTGACTGACAGCTTTGTTTTGCCATATTTGACTGTATTCTCCCCCCCCCCCAAAGAAAGTAATAAGCACTAAGGAGTAATAAAATCCAAGATGTGTAAATTTTGTTGTAAAAAAGAGAGGGGAAAAAAAAAAAGAAAAAGAGCTCTAACGGATATAACAGCAAGTGTGTTTGGGGGTGTTAAATAGCTGACTTTATCATTGTTTTTGGAACATTGAACACAGCTGTTTGCAGTCTCCCTGTTTGAATGTCCACCTTGTGTTCTTTGATACTGTGATTTGAGGAACTATTTTCAAGAAGATAGTGTGTAATCTACTAGCAGGTAATTTCTTACTGTTATGTTTTTTTGTTTTGTTTTGTTTTGTTATGTTTTGTTTTGTAGTTCTGTATTGCGTGTACCCTTACGCCGCTTTGGTTTGTTTTGTGTTTTTCTCTTTTTTCCTCTTAAATAAAAAAAAAAAAAAAAAAAAAAAAAAAAAAAAAAAACAAAAAACAAAAAACAAAAAAAAAAACAAAAAAAAAAAAAAAACAAACAAAAACATGTAAAGCTTTGCCAATAGAAATAGGTAGCGGGAAGACAATTTTGAGATGTGACATTCAATAAAATGAGGTTGGCAACAGTGGTTATTTACAGCATGGTAAAAAGCCATAGAAAATCCAGATTTTTAAGGCATCGGGGAAGTTTTCTATATGAGTTAACCTTTCTGTACACTCTGGCCTACTTTTGACTTTGGTCTCCTGTAACATCAAAGAAAGATAAGAAAGCATTGTTATTTCTAAGTAAAATATCATTTGAGTTATTTTTACTTTCTATGATTTTTGGAGACAGGTATAGCCAAGTTTGACCTCCCAGCATATGGATGGGTTATCAGAAAGAGGAAAGTCAATAAAGGAATCCTATGTGGTCATTCCCTTTCACCACTTTGTTTTTGTTCTTTTGCTGTTGTTATCTTTTGTTTTGTTGAGAGAAGGCTTACTATGTGGTCCAGGCTGGCCTCGAACTCAAGATGATCTTGCCCCAGCCTCCTTAATGCTAATATAGGGATTACAGGCATGCACCACCATGACTGGCTCTTCCTTTTATCACTATATTATAATCTCAAAAGGTAACCCCAAAGAAGTACATGACATTTTTAGAGATACAACTCACTGAATTGGAGCAAGGCATTGATTCTGGTGAAATTTCATCCCATTTCTTGTTTTCTCTCATCCTCTAGAGATAGGTCCTTCTTTGGTAACATCATTTTTAAAGATATCTTCCTTTTAACCTGCCAAAGCGTAAGAGGGCTCAAAAGCTAAGGCAAATCACCTATTTGTTTTGTAGATGGCATTCAGTAATGGAAGCCAAATTTATTTTATCCTATTGAATCTTTTGCCCTAGACTTAAAGAGAAAATAATTCAATAGACACAACACATAAAGTTGAGAATGTGTTTTTATCTTTCAGTAATCCTAAGAAACATTATATATAAATCTTAAAAGACCAAATCCCTTAATAAAAAAAATATAAAAACAAGTAATACCTGAGAGATTTATGTCCAGTAGCTTTCCTGGAGCTACCTACCCTTTTCTATGCACTCTCCTGGGTTCCTACTGCCATCCAAAATCTAAGGATTTTCCTCCAGTTAGCCCTATATGAATGGGGTCCTCATCCCCACACTGCCTACCTGCACAGTTATTTCTATATGTACCGTTTTGTCATGCTCATGGTCTTATTTCTGCCTGTGCTCACTTTTAGCTTCCTCATCTAACAGACACACATACAGGAGCTACCTTATTTTCCCATTTTTAGCCAAAAAATCAGTCTTTTTCTTTATTCTGTCCCAGAGAAGGAATAACCCTTTCCAAACATACCCAAGCCAGTTAATTCATGTCATTAAAAAATAAATCATGAACATTTTATTATTTTATTTCTATAAAACAGAGTCACATAAAAATATTTTTTTTTTATCTCCTTGACCCTATTCTACCCCACACCACCTTATCTCCAAGCACAATACTGCTTTCAACCCCTGAATCTGACTTCACTCTTCCTAGGTAATTAATTGTTTGCTAAATTTATTTCCATATTTTTATATTTACTCAAGAACAAATCTACAAATTTACATAGCATATAATGCACAGTAACATAAATTTTAGAGGGATTTGATCAATTTAATAATACTGTGGCCATACCTCCAATATGATAATGCAGGGTCTACACGAATCATTCACATTTCTCATATTTTCAAACATTTTCTGCTATCATCTTATTGCTCAGATTTCTCCCATATTCAAGAAACTGGATATGATACCATGTACCTCACATGACTCCATCCTTTCACAGTCAACTTCTGTTCTTGAAAAGAGCTTCCCCTAACTGAATCTACTTACTTCCCATTCACTCCTTAGTCTTGCAGTTTTGCTTCTATCCTACCACTCTCCTAAATTTGCTTTAAGATCCAAAGTAAACACTAGACCTAAATTACATTTTTCAAATGCTGTCTCATTGAGCTGCTGAGCCTCTGTGACCTTCTCCTTTGTTTCTTCCCTTGATAAGACTGTTCCTAAATATTTCACCACCTCCACCATTCCCAAATTGGGATGCTTTTCACTTTAGTTGATCTGGTAATGTCCAGATACTTTTTCTGTTATCACAACCGAGGGAGTAGGGTTGGTGAGTACCATTGGAATCTACTGTGCAGAGGCAAGGGATTCTGCTGAACATCCTGCAATGTAGACAGCCATCAACAACAAATAATAATTTAAATAAAAATGTCAAAGAATACATAAGTTAAGAAATTTCTGTCCTAGAGAGTGAGTAGGTATGTGAATATAAAGTTATAGGTTAGGGATATGGCCCCCACTTCTGATGATGATTGTCCCCATCCCATTACGAGACAACCCAAAGTCACATATCCAGAGATGTCCCAGGGCCACAACAGCTTCCAACTCTCTAAGTCCACCGTCTTCAGGTAATGTCCAGAATTCCTCCATTTCTATTTCAGTCTGGTCCAGGTGCAGCTGCATCCCATCCTTCTCCCTGAGGGCAGAAGGGCTCATGATCCCCTCTATGTAGCTTGTCATCAGATGAGGAGAAGCAAACCAACCCACCACCCACTATCACCCATCCCCTGGAAATTAATTTTACATTGTCATATGTTTACTATTTCATGTTTCTGAATGTACAGAAAGCTTTATAGCTAGACTCTCTACACATGTATCTTGATAGTGGGTTGGACAAAGAAAGCACCATTCTTTTGTGCATGGTCTGGATCAGCAAACCTTCTGAGTACTGTCAGTTGTTGACTTATCTCCTGTGTAGTGATGTAACTTCCCTGTTCAGATATGACTGGCCCTGGTTCTACCTAGAAGGGACTAGGAGGTACTCCTCATGATGCTGTAAAGTGATAGTAATCCTCACCTGTAGCTAATGTTGGCATTCTCAGTGTGCAACCCTGTGGGATCCATTTAGGGGTGGCATATGTCTGCATATTAATTTGAATCAAGCACAAACCTAAGTTTAACCCCAAACCTATAACCCTAATCCTGTTTTATTTCTTGTGATATAACTCTTTGAACAGGAGTCTCTGTCCAGTTCATTCCCAAGCACTCTTAGGATACAGGAATCCCTACCATTTGTCAAACCCTGATGGAATTCCCAAACCAATTCCAACATTTTGATAGCATGTTTTTTGAAATTGCTCTCCTGGTGCCAGTTTCTGACCTGAAAATGATCTGGTTACTCATGACAGGAATACATTGAAGTTACTATAGGCAAAAGGGGATCTGGATAAAGTGGATGTTTATGTAGCACAATTGCAGGAAGGGAAAAGCAGTTGAGTCACTCCCACTTTCCACAGCTCTCTGGAGGTATTGTGTTAACTCTGTACTTCTTTATGCCTTTCTGGACCTTATACCATACTTGTATCTCCTAAATGACCCCCTCTGTAAAGTACCTGGTCCTGCTCCCCCACAGCTAGAACTAGGTCTTAGTGTTTGTGCCTGTGACCCCAGCCCCAACTCGAAACAACCCACTACTCCACTGCCCAACCCAATTCTGAGTATGGAATCTGCCTCTGTTCAGTTTCTTGAGCCTGAGAATCTGTGTGGTTCAGGATGGTCAAATGCTCACCCATTCTCATCATCTAAGTCCTAGGCATGGTGGTGGGGAGGTAGAAGAGTTTATAAATGTAGCTGTTAGGTCCACTAGACACTAGGATGGGGAGACATCCATGCACACACACATGTATGCATGTGCACACACACACACAAAGCTGCAGCAGTTCTGGGGTGTTTCATGGAATACAAAAGAGATCGTCATCTAAACGTGTCTCGTCCCACCAAGTACATCCTCTCCAACACCCACCCAACTCTCTCTCACTTATTTGGCTCCATATTCCCACCCTCACCCCTGGCACTCAACACAGGCTGCCCACATCAGAAAATAGACTGCTCATTGAGGTGTTTGTTTCATTGCATGCTAATTATTTTACTAAGGGCTTTGCAGCCAGATTCCCCTCCTGCAGCGGAAGCAATTTTCCCTTCGTGAAAAATTCACAGCCTTACACCAAGGGCAATTCCAATCCCCAGGCTTGCGAAAAAATGGACTTTTTCTCTGCTGGAATTCCAAGTCTCTCTTCTTTTTCTGGTGTTCTTGTGGGTCTATTCCTTGAGCCCACACATCAGACCACCAGCTAAAATCAGATGCTGCGTAGTGGGAGGGCATCTGATGTGAAACAGGTGCTGTGATCGTGGCTGCTAGTGGAGGTGGGGAGGATGCAGCTGGGAAACAGGACAAAGGGCTTGAGTAGCTGTATGTGAAAGAGGCAGGGAGCTGGACAGGTAGGGGATCTGGTGAGGTTGTGGATGCGGCCTTCAGGGTCCCAGAGAGATAAAGCGTAGCTTTTTCTATAGGCCTAGTATCATTCTCCTTCTCTCTGCCACTGGTGTGATTTTTCTGCTGGGCAACTCCAAGAAACTGCAGGACACTATCACTTAGATCCTCCTCTGAGGTTGCACTGGTCACATCCATCTCTTCTTTTTCTCTTCCTCCAGCTGTACCACTAGCTTCAGCTTCTTCCACCGCTTGCTTCTCACCTGCTCCTAGTATCTCTACCTCTTGGACACCAATCAGGTCTAGCTCCTCCAAAGTTGGCTCTGGGATACCTTTCAGCTCCTGAAGAGAAGTGGGCAGGGCCTGAGACACACATCCCAGGCATGGGTGTCTGGTGGGGTATAGATATAGGGCTGGAGTGGGTCTAGTGGGGTTTGGCTTACCGCCTGCACAAGTTTCCACCTTAGCAGGTCTCTCTCTTTCTGCACTTGGGCCAGCTTGGCATGGATCAGCCACAACTGGAAGGCAGCCTCCTTGCGCTCCACCTCCTGCTGCTCAATGAGCTGCTTCAAATCCGAGGCCAAGGCATGAGTGGCTGACTTGTGCAGTTTGGCAAAATCATACAGCCACTGCACCCTGCGCCCTTGTAAGAGCTCCTGCCTGCGAGCTAAGCGCACGCCCAGGGCCAGGGTGCCCCAGGTACACGCCTCTTGAGCTTCTCTCGGCACTTCGCTATCCTCCAGAACAGCCTTGATCTTGTCTTCTATCTCCTCCCAGGACAGAGACAGATTTTCAAGGTAGAACTCGGGGCCTTTTGTGTGCCTGGCCATCTTCTCATTGATGAAGTCTACCAATGAGCCATACTGGAACCCAGTATAGGGGTCCTCAGGTCTCAAGGCCATGATGGTTAAGGGCCTTAGTGCTTTTGCTGGCCCTGTTGGGATAGATCAAACTGTTGTTCCTTCCCTCCCTCTTAGGCCCTCCCCCCCCACCCAACCTCCTCCTACCCTACTCCTCTCAGCCTTGATCGTCAGAATCGACTCCCTGGCTAGGCTTTCCCCCACTTTAGGACACTTCCCAAGGCGACCTTAACTCTCTAGCCAACGCCCAGAAGAGGTACATGCTGACCACCCTGCCTACCCTGGCCAGGGCCAAGAGGGTATTTCTTCTTCCCAGGTCACCAAGGAAAGGAAGTTGTGAGGTCAAGTGTGGAGAGTTTTGCTCTTGGACTGTTCCAACTTCCAGAGAGTACAGGGGTGGGTGACTGTGTGAGAAGAAGGTTATTCTGTTTCTTAGGACACAAATGAACCTATCACATGGGTGAAAGCCCTGGAAGCTGAGAAGAAATGGGAATGGTTAGCAAAATCTCAGAATCAAGAAAATGAAGCTCTTATAAGTAAATCCAAAAAGTCTCAACCCTCCCATTTATAGTGAGTTTATCCCATAGCAGGAGCTTGTAGGCCCTCTGCTGGAGATGGAATGTTCCAGAATAGAATACTGCTCTAGCTGCTTATTGGTTTCTGCCACATTCTGACTACATCCCCCAACAATCTTTTTTTTTTTTTTTTTTTTCGTTTTTATCGGTACCAGGGATCGAACTCACGACTGCCTGCTTATCCCCCAACAATCTGAAGCTGCTCTTCCAGACTTCTGAATTCCTACATGAGTGTTATTTAACATATTTTTTGTAAAAGGGCCAGAAAGGGTATTTGAGTATTGGTGGATAAAGAAGCTCTGTCCGAACTACTTTTAGAATAAAAGTATTCTTAAATAATAACTAAAGTTATGAAAATTGCTGTGTCCCAGTGAAACTTTATTTACAAAAGCAAGCAGTTGGCATGATTTGACCTGCAATTTGCTGACTCTTGACCTATGTTTCCATTTCATACATGTCCTAAAGTCATGTAAAAGTCAAAATATTCATACTACAATTAACCCTCTTCCCCTTAAAAGAAAGACTAAACACGTTTAAAAATCTATTTGAGCAAAGAATGATTTATGAATGAGGCACTATTCATACTAGAAAGAATTTAAAGAGTTCATTACATGAGTATGAGCAATGAACTCTATAGAAGAAACATCAAATTAGATAAATTACTGAATTGGTTACAGCTAAGAATTTGCCTTATTTGTGCATGGTTTCATGAGGCATTTGACTTATTTGAGCATGGTCTAATCACTTGGCTGTTGGTGATTCCCAGAAACTTGTCCATTTGTGATTGGCTGACATTCAGCTACTTTGTATATTTATAAATTTTACTAAATTTTGTTGTAGTTTGTTAGGTTAAAAACTTAAAGACATCCTTAAGCTGTAACCCCTTGCTTATTTATTTTAGCACCCTCAGGAGATAATTCCCTTCACATATTCTTATGTGGAACAATACAGAATTCTCAAAATCATCATCAACTACCTCCCTGGCATAAGAAAACAAAGTACTCAACATGTCTTTTTGTTATTATCATAGTAACATCTAGTGTTTATATTTTTACTCAAGGAATGTCCATGTTTCGTCCTAAATAATCTTCCTATCTAACATCTTCCTCCTAATGTCCAATAATTTCCTGATCTCTCTTATGGTTGTGTTAATCTTAAGCTTCAACATATTTGAAAATTCCTTTGCTGTACTATTTGGCTTGACATTAAATTCTCACCTCAGACTACCTTTCTAATTTACTCTCTCCATTCTCTTTATCCCTGTCATTTATTCTACCAAGGGACTAAGCCATGCAAATATACCTGTTTTAGATTTTACATCAATTCTTACACCAACAAATCAGGACACTTATTATTTTGTGTGCATTATGTTCTGTTCTATGGATTAAAATGAGAAGGCTAATAAATCCTCTTTAGCAAACTAGTATTAGATAGTATGAGAGAAAAAATTACTGGGTTAGCCATTAAAATATTACCTAAGAAGTTAATTAAATCCCAAGGCTTTAAAGTTCCATTCTTTCACTTTTTAAAAAAATACTGTCTTATCTTTTCTATTTCTTATTCTGTATTTATCAGCCCATGGTGGAAAGAGTTCATATTGTGCTTTATTCATTATTTTTAAGAGAAAAACAATAGAAATAAAATAAAAGTTTAAAATCATGCTAATAGGAAAGTAATAATAATTTATATATTATGTATTGTCATCTTCATAGTAGTTACTCAGAGTGTAAGATGTAGGCATGAAATATTGTCCAAACCATATTAGCAAAAATCTTTCTTTTCATTGAAAAGCCAAACTAGCTATATAACAATCTTAACTATCTTGTGTGTGTGTGTGTGTGTGTGTGTGTGTGTGTCCCCTTTTCTCTTACTTCCTTTCCCATTTTCCATCAATTTCTCTTTTCTTTTGAATAGCCTCTTCTCAATTCACAATATCTGTTTTACAATTTCTGTCTTATCTACTTATTTATATTCTCACACTAGTGAGAAATATGATGTTTAGACATATGTGTCTGCTTTATTTCATTTATGAGTATGGTCTTATATTTTATGTTTATTTGAAAAGTCTTCCAGTTTATCATTTTTAGAGCTGAGTAATACTCCATTATATAAATAAAACACATCGTTTTATCCATTCTTAAGTTGATGGGCATTTGAGTTGCTTCCAAAATTAACCTATTACAAATTGTGCTGCTATAAACATGAGTACACATACTGCTATGGTGTTATCTTTTTTTAATTCTTCTGGGAAGATATCCAGAATGGGAATAGCTGGGGCAAATGGGACCTGTAATCCTAGATTTTAAGGAATATTCACACTAATTTCCACAGTAGTTACACCAGTCTACATCCCAATTAACAGTGGAGAAGGGTTCATTTTTCCCCACAGATTTGCCATGGTTAGTTATTGGTTGATTTCTTCATGGTAGTCATTCATTCTTTCTGGAGTGAGATGAAACCTCAGAGTTGTTTTATTTTGTATCTCTCAAGTGATAAGTGATATTGAACATTTTTTCATGTATTTTATACTTGTATTTTTTATTTGAGAAGTGTGTATTCATCTCTGATGCCCATTTTTGGATTGGGGCTTTAAATGCCTGTTATTTTTTTCATTTCTTGGAATTTTCTCTTAACAAGTACGTAGTTATTATTCCTTGTCACTTTTGTTCAATTTTGGCTTAAATTTTACATTGTCTAGAATAGCTACCCCTGCTTTTTTTTGGGTTCCTGTGGCATGGAGAATTGTTTTCTGTCCTTTGACTTTTAGTCTATGAATTTCTTTTTGGGTTAAATGTGTTTCTTAAATGAAACATGTTGTCAGATATTGTTTCTTGATCCACTCTGCCAATCTCTTCTGATTGATGAGTTATAATTTTTGTATACATCAATGTATTACAGTGAGTGATAAGTGGTATATATTAGCTTGTCTTTTTCATGGTATATTCCCTTTCTTGGTTCCCTGACTTTGTCCTCTGTTTTACTGCTTGTCCAGCCTACTGCCTTGTTTCTATTGGAGTTCTTGTTTTTGTGTTCTTCATTTTCTCTTTCTAATGTATCTTTCAGAGCATTTTCTAGAGCTGGATCCATAGTGATAAATTTCTTCCATTGTTCTTTGTCATGGAAGCAACGTATTTCTCCACTGATCTTGAAGGAGGTTTGTGGTGTACATTATTCTGGGTTTAAGGTGATTTTCTTTTAGGGCTTGAAATGCATCACTCCACGCTTTCTTTGATTTGAGAGTTCATAATGAGAAGTCTGCTGTGATTCTGATGGACATTTCTGTTTTTGTTTTACTCTAGCTGATTTTAACATTTTGTTCTTGTTTTGAAATTCTGAAATCTTGAATATTATCTGCCTTGGTATAGATTTATTTTGGTCATTGTTATTTGGAGTTTTATAGGCTTTTTTATTTGTATGCCAAATTGTTTATCCATGTTTGGGACATTTTCTGCCATTATTTCTGGGAAGAGGTTTTTTTTTTTTTATTTTTTTTTTTATAATGTGTTATGCTCTGTCTCCAGCTTTCTCATTGACTCCAATCAATATTATTTCGTTCTTTGCTTAATCTTGTAGCTGTTGCATTGATTTCTTACAATCTCTTTTTATTTTTCAGATATCATTCTTTTCCTGGTCAATAGTTATATTTCTGTCTTCTAGATCTGATATTCTATCCTCTTCTTCATTCAGTCTTTAATGAATACTTTAATGGTGTTTTAAATCTTCTGGGCTTCTGTTTGGATTTCTGTTTGGGTTTATGTTTCTGTTGAAAAATAGATCAGAAGAGAGAAGCTCAACTCAGGATTAAGTGCCTTGATGGTAGTTTTTGATTCTTACATGACTGAATGAGGCTGCAACTTATGAGAAAGTATAGAATTAAAGATATATATTATAGATTTGGATGTTTTCAGCATTCAGTTGTGGCTGGGATCTTTTGCTTGAACAAAATCTCTGGAGATGAAGATTAGCTTGAAAGTAAAAAAAGTCAAACAGATCCAAAAACAAGGCCTTGAAAATCATAACCAACACTTCAAAAATAGGTCAAGGAAGAATATACAATAGGCATGGTCTGAAAAGTAGACATTTGAAAGAAGAAGATACTTTTAAACTAAGTAAAAGTTTACAAAGTAGCAGCAGTGGTTATCATTTGCAAATAAAGCACAGAAGTTAGATCGGGTAAAGTTGAAAAAGGTCTTTGGATTTTAGCTAATAAGATATACTTTTTAATCTAGTGATAGAAAGTGAATAAAATGATGGAGCAGAAGTGAGATGATGGTAGGCTATGAGTAAATTTAGACAAAGGAATAAAAATTTTGAATACTGACAAGTCTTTCAAGATCTCTGGCATATGTTGAGTGGACAGAGTTCATTGAATAGATTAAGTAAGAATAGTGTTTGGTAGTGTGGTAGATTAAGTAATGGACACCTTGTAATACCAAGCTGAACTGAATCCGTGTGGTTTTAGGTATGGATGGCCTACCTGAGGAGTGTTGCCATTAAGATTGCATTAAGATTAACTAGAGGGGAAAATGTTGTGCTGTTGACTTTCTTTGAGAAGCTTGTCATGCTAGTTTTCCTGATAGGAACTCAGCTTTTCTTATCATTGGAGGTCCTCAGGTACTCGCTATTACTGAGAATGGCTGCAATTCTCTTTGGGGAGCTCCAGTCCTTACTTTGTTCCACCACTGAATTTGAGTCTTTCCAGTGTAGATCCTTGATACAGACTTGCATGAGACAT